GAGGCTGGTGGAAATACTCCCTGTGACTGTGGCCTGAAATTCCTCCGCAAGTGGCTTAATCCGGCAGATATACTCTGCATTTTTCTCCGATTTATATTTGTATGGCAGCAGTGGCTTTAGTCTGTTTAAAGCTGCTATGTTTCTATATTCAACAATCAGGCTTTTGTAGAAGGAACTATCAGGGTCAGTAACTGTAACCGCCATTTTGACGTCGCCAAAGGTACGTAAAAAATCAACTAACTCGTCATCTGCTTGAGTGTTTGTCACACCTGTCACATAAACACAATGGGTAATATTTACCCCCATTTGTTCAAAAACATCCATATTCCTGGATTTCAGGAAAACAGAAATATTCAAGACTAGTCAAAATTATTGTGACTTGGTGAATATTCACACAGTGTGGCTCCTGGCTAGCTCGCCAAATGTAACGCTAGGCTAGTAGCAGAGTGAACAATTAGGTTGACCAGAAGTAGATTCGGCCAAGGAGCCAAGGTGTGTGAATGAAACACAGACAAAATCAATTGCGTTGTTAGAAAAGTATATATATATATTGATTGTAGTCACAGATTCTATAATTATTAGGTGAGGTATGCGATAACTATATTACATTATTTACATGTGTTGCTATAAATAGGGCAGATATAAGGAAATATTTTTAATACAAAAATAAAAATACAAAAACAAAAAGTGTCCTTTGGTAGGTCAGTTCAATTCAGTTATGGTGGGCTCATAACTGTACTTTAAGCTCCTTTTAGAGTCTTTAGAGTTCCTTTTTGGGATTCAGAAAAGTTCAAGTACTCAAGATCCTACCACTCAGGTAGAACAATAGCTCGCCATCAGAAGGTGATTGCAGTCGGTCGAAGAGCCGTTGCAATAATCCAACGTAAAAACAAAAGCCTGACCTGGAAAGGTCAAAACAAACAAAAACACAAAATAAGCATTTGTATAAATAAACTATTCTACTAAAAGGTACATGATGTACATGTGGAATGTACAGAGAAGTAAATGTAGATACATATTTCCATATGTAACTGTTACAAAAAGGTACATATTTTATGTAAAATACGCTAAAGTTATATTATTTATAACCAAAATCAAATCATAAATCAACCACTAAATAGCTGATCAATATCATAAAGGTTCTTCGATTCAGGAACCTACATCTCAAAACAAGTGCACTTTAAGTCAGTTTGATTCATTGAATACATACTCAAGTAATTCATTAAATACTCTGATATAGATTATTTGAGCAGAGATCAAGAAATAATACTTAAACACGCAAGCAGAGTCAGTCAAGTTGCGCAACGATCAAAAATAAACACGTAGCTACGTTAAAAATATCAAATTAACAAAGGATGGAAACCTGTTGCCGCGTTACTGCAGTACGGCAAGGTTTCCACACGTAATCAGAACTAAAAATAGCTCAATCTAAATGCTGGACGCGATGCTTGGTGCGTCGCGGACGCATGTAAAACAGGGACAATAGTGACCGTGTGTAAATGGGAGTTTTGAATAGGAGCGGCAGCGAGGTTACCACCAAACAAAACGAAACATCATCATATAACGTAAGATCACTCGCTAAACACAAAAGAGACAACCCGAACTGCTGTAAAGTAACTCACCATTGAACGTACAGAGTCAGATTCGAAGTGGGATGATGTCAGGCCGAGTAGTTTGTTGGGTTTGTTAGCCCCGCTAACAAACACTGGCTGATACTCTGAAAGTTACGCGATCATGAGCGCTCACAACGATATGCAGCACATAATACGACCATAACTTGTATATGGACTCACCCTGGATCGGAGATTCAACGTAAAAGATGATATGAGGCAAAATCAGCGCGGTAAAAGGCAATAGACGCCGAGAAGCCAGACGCACGCCACAGGCCACAGTCACAGAGAGCCGTCAAGGAAGGGGCGGGGGGAATGACCTGGTATGACCCCGCAGGTTAGAGGGAAGCAGGGCTGACGCTGTATTCCTCCACCATTTATTGGCCCGCAATATTCTTAAAACATTATTAATGTTGGGCAACCATAATAAATATAAAAATATGTTAGGAAATGCGGGTTACATTAGGGTTAGGGCAGTTTCCCAGTGTGGTTAGGGTTAGGGCAGTTTCCCAGTGTGGTTAGGGTTAGGGCAGTTTCCCAGTGTGGTTAAGGTTAGGGCAGGGAGCTGGGCTATGTCTTTAGCTCTGTGGCTGCAAAATTGACATTAGTCCAATGGCATATTTATGCTATCTTTTTCATGCACAACAAGGAATCAATTGCGGTTTTTTCATATTGTTTCCATGTTTCAAGATTGTTAACTAGCAATGAACTGATTTAGTTTCAGTTAGGTTCTTCGATGAGGCTAAGGCTAGCGCCTTGGTTCAAGGTCATGGGGTCCAGAGTCTGGGGAAGGCACTGGCTAGTATTAGGTGTCATACAACGTTACTTTCCCCCAAAAGGACAGTGAATTCACGGGCTCTCTTCCAAGGCAAGGCAAGGCAAGTTTATTTATATAGCACAATTCATACACAAGGCAATTCAAAGTGCTGAACAAAACAAGAAAGCATTAAAATCATAAATTATTACAGAACATAAAAAAGAAAGATAAAAATATAAAATCCCTCAGTTGTATGCACAGTTAAACAGAACTGTCTTTAACCTGGTTTTAAACATTGTCAGAGAGGAGGCCTGTCTCACATCTTCAGGAAGAATGTTCCAGATTTTAGCAGCATGAATCTGAAAAGCAGCCTCCCCATGTTTAGTTCTGACTCTGGGCACTAACAGGAGTCCAGTCCCTGTGCTCCTCAGAGTCCGGGCTGGTTCATATGGGACTAACATGTCACTAATATATTTTGGTGCGAGGCTATGGAGAGACTTGTACACAAGCAGAGCTGTTTTAAAGTCTATTCTCTGAGCCACAGGAAGCCAGTGCAGAGACCTGAGGACCGGACTAATATGGTTGTACTTCCTGGTTCTAGTCAGGACTCGAGCTGCTGCATTTTGAATGTACTGCAGCTGTTTTACAGCCTGTTTGGACAGACCTGTGAGCAGGCCATTGCAGTAGTCTAACCTACTGGAGACAAATGCATGGATAAGAATCTCCAAGTCTGCTTTAGACACTATGTTTTTGATCCTGGCAATGTTTTTTAGATGGTAAAAAGCTGCTGATGTTACTGATTTGATGTGGCTATTAAAATTTAAGTCTGAGTCCAGTATTACCCCTAGATTTCTGACCTTGTTTGAAGGTTTTAGGGAGAGAGACTGGAGGTGACAGATGACGCCTCCAGTCTCTGGATTTTGGCCCCGTCCCAATACTCGCACTTCCACCCTCGCGCCCCTCATTTGCGCGTTCCCGATAAAGTGTGCGAGTGCGTAGGGTGTCCCAATTCTCCAGGGAGGTCTTTGACCCCGCCCCCTTTGCGCCCCTGATCCACACTTCGCCGTAGCCTGCATCTATGCGCACTCTGGCGAAGGATATTGCCCATAATTCTTTGCGGTACACACCAAAACGTCGGGAAAATGCAAATTTTGAAATATATATGCAGTATATGTGTAAATAAGTTTTGTTATGTTACTTGGAAAGAAGCATAAACGTCTGATGAAGAATTACGGACATTGTGTTTTAACAATTTAATACATTTTAAAGCAAGCGTTTATATAACATTCAATTTAAACTTTACACTTAGTACAATAATCTTAGAATGTATAAAAACTGACCAGATAGTTAGTTACCCACATTTAACTTAAAATTATACAGCTATCTCTAATTAAAAACAACTAATATACATGGATTTTAACGTGTGTGAAGCAATTTAATTTGTTTCCCAAAGGGTCAGACAAAATTACCTTTAATGTTTATAAAGTTTAGGTCTGAAATGACCATCTCTTGACGAGTCGATGACGTAACCTGCACTCAGTGTGCACTGTCCCAATTCCGCCTTTTTTGCACACTTGTAACCTGCGCACTCCAACCCTAGTGTGCACTTCGAACAAATGCACACTTCGTAGAGGTGTGTAGGGTGCAGTGTGGGTATTGGGACGGGGCCTAAGTGTAGGTCCCCTGGCACTGCCAACCACCACGGTGGCCGCCATCTTGTGTCCAGGGTTTTCAAAAAATGACTCTTATTCACGCATATTCTTATGCGCTACGTTTCAACTTAAGCACTCCTATTGAGTGTCCTATTTTGTATGCACAGGCTCCAACCCCCACTCTTGCTGAGCCCAAAAAATAAATCATCCTTCCATCAATTCCTTCCTTTCGTCCATCCATCAATCCTTCCTTCCAACCATCCATCCATCCACCTATCCTTCCGTTTTACACTCAGCCAACTTCAACTCAGTCAGATGTCAATCCTTGTGGACGTTTCTCAATCAAAGTTCAGAACAGAATCTAGTCACAACAACAATCCGTCTGGTTTGAACTAAAGTGTCAGAGAGAGTCTGTGCGTTTCAATTCCATTTATTTTTGCATCGCCCTAAACCACAGCAGTCGTTATCTCGGAGGACTTTACAAAGCTGTAAATTCGTCAACACCAGTGACATCAAAGAATCAAACAGTTCAAAAACAGGAAACGCTAAACAAGGGGCAGATGACCAATGTCCATAAATGTTCATACGTTTTATTGAATATTGGCAAAGGAATCGGTAAAAGAAAAACTCTAAAAACCAAGTGAAGATGATGTTCCGGAATTCTGGTAGCCGGAGTAACCAAATTCCAGAATCGTAGAACACGGCGACGTTGCTACGGAAACTTTTCAGTTCTCATGACATCTCAAAGGTTGCCGTAGCAACCTTTGACTCAAGTGGACATGAGTCTAGGTGGAAAGGCCCTGTGTGGCAAGGTTTCGGGGCACTGGAGGAAATCAGGTTAAGAGACTGTTTTGAGCATGAGAAGTTAGTGTTTGTTCTGATGGGGTAAATTGTCAGTTATAAAAAGTTTTCTAATTTGCACTTAGCCTGATTAAGAATATGGAGTGGTCAGATGAATTAGAAGTCTTCAGGTTGACCTTGATGCTTGACAAGCTGCGTTGGGACATCAAAATGAGGGAGAGGGCAATTGCAGAGCTGGAAAGAGCAACACAGGAAGAAGTAAATGAAAAAAAGGAGGATAGTTGGAGCAATTTGAGTGAGATTTATAGAAATCATCTCTCGGAGGTTTCACAGCTGAACGTAAAGATAAAGCAGCTTCGTGAGGCCATCAAAGCAGAAGGGGCAGAGACAGTCGAAGGCACTGGGACTGATGTGGCAGAGCTGGGGACTCAGACCGATGTAGAGTTCATAGATAAAGGGACTCAGAAAGAGGCAGGGACTCAGACAGAGATTGGGTTTGTAGAGATTGGGACTCAGACAGACGTAGCATCTGCTGAGCGAGGGACTCAGACAGACCCAGCCCTCTCAGAGACTCTCTCAGAGAATCATCCGGATGGAGACGGAACACAGGGCCTCCCCACTTCAGTCCACCTGCAGGAACACGAAAACTCTCACTCTCAGGGAACGCCTTGATAGAGCGCGGACGGAGGTAACAGATGCAATCCTTAAAGTGTTGAGGGATGAGCAGCAGATCAGAGACCAGCGACAGGAGCCAGAGCCTCAGGTGAGTACGGAGGAGGCCAGCGCAGTGGAAAACCAAGGAGGTTTCTTGTCAAAATTCAAGACCGCCGCAAAGAATGCTCTTGTGGAAGTCCCTGTTGTAGCGCTTGGATATGGCTTGTACTGTCTGGCACGTCAACCTCGCAGGGCTTTAATTGCCGAAGAAGATGAAAGCATTCAGGTGTTGCAGGATCAGCAGCAGATCAGAGACCAGCAGCAGATCAGAGACCAGCGATCGGAGCCAGAGCCTCAGGTGAGTACAAAGGAGGCCAGCGCAGTGGAAAACCAAGGAGGTTTCTGGTCATCCTTCAAGTCCGGCGCAAAGAAAGCTCTTTGGGCAGTCCCCGTTGTAGCGATTGGATATGGCATGTACTCTCTGGCACGTTAAGGAGCCAGACAGTCACCGACCAAGCACCGTTAAACGGTCATGGTCGGTAGATGTGGTGTGTGTGTGTGTGTGTGTGTGAGAAATGGTCATGGGACTGTCTACTCTGTACATTTTCCCCATTGACCCATCTGTGTCAGATACTGTTCCCAAATGTGTCTTTTAACAGATTTGGGAACAGTAACTATCTGACAGAGTTGGATCTTGGGAGAATTTGCACAGAGGGGTCGGCCCAAAACCTTCTGACTGTAGGGAAAAGTGCTTTTGGACTTAATCCTATAGTTTCTCTTGCTCTGTATGCTTCTGGCCATTTACCCAACTTGCCCAATTTAAGGGTCAAGGTCGGTACATGTGTGTGTGTGTGTGTGTGTGTGTGTGTGTGTGTGTGTGTGTGTGTGTGTGTGTGTGTGTGTGTGTGTGTGTGAGTGAGAAATAGTCATAGGGGCTGTCTTCTCTGTACATGACATGTTAATGACTTATCAACCAAGCTGAGCACTGCGCTCGCAAAAGCCCAGACGTCTGGTGGTCCCTAACGTTTCAAAAAGCTCTGTCGGCAGCAGAGCATTTAGCTCCAAGCTCCTTTACTGTGGAATCAGCTCCCCACGCATGTTAAGGAAGCAGACACTGTCTCTACATTTGTTGGAGCTATTTTGCCTTCTTTTGTTTTGCTGCCTCCTGCCACTGTGTGGCGCCACTTCGAATGGTATGCTCTATATAAGTGGGACACTAATTATGTACAGGTGTTGTAGTGTGGAGGCAAACATCTTTTTACCGTCGTCTGTCACCTTGGTTATAGTATTGAATAGTGTATTTGGATCGCAATAAACGTTTGTGGAACACAATATTTCTGTCTATTTCATGGTGAGAGACACGCGTCCGAGACGCCAACACACGCTACATCCAGCGGACCTTGCATAGGGCAAGTTTTGGCCGCTACATTGTAAAAAGATGGTCTCAGGTACCGTCTGGACGTGTAGATTGCGTCAGCTGTGAGACTACCGTGGCGGTGACTCGTTGCCAGGGGGCGCGGTGAACCGGCGGACTGTCAACGGGAGAAAGGAGGAAGAGGCTCCTCCTCTTCCTCCTTTCTCCTTGAGGGCGAAAGCACCGGAGAGAGCACAGGCGTCCTCTACCACCAGCGCGGGCGAGGGAAGACTCAGCGCACAAACTGTTCCGCGGCGGAGAGGTCCTGCAGTACGGATCGGACCGCGGAGGAGCTCGGCACTGAGTTTGGAGAAGGCTAAGCGTGGTGAGCAGTTCTGATTGTGCGCGACATAATGGCGCACAGACAACACGTTTGGGAACAGGACACGGAATGTGCTGTGGACACTGTAATAAGAACACTGTAAAATGTATCTTTAATTTCATAATCTGAATAAAATGATTATATTTGCCACAATTTCACTCTTTGTACATTTTGGAATCTTCCACACACACAAGCATCGTCATTCAAAGTTACTGTCCCCCCAACCGATGATGTGTAGAATATTCTTATGCGCTACGTTTTGACATCTTTTTATGTCTTCTTTAGGCGAGATCTACACGTTAACTTTTTCAACAATAAGGAGGTTTAAGGCTGCTACCGTGACGACAGTGGAGCTCGTCACTCTGGTATCATCAGAACCACGTCTGAAACGGTAGTTCTGATCAATAATACCATAAATAGGGCACAAATCACAGTTACTTTTAACAACATTTGACCCTTTGTTGTCATTTTGGTCATTTATTGAGCTATAAACAACAAAAAGGTCAAACCCATGCTCCTGGGGGAGCTCCGTAGCGTTGAGCTAAGTTCCGTGCTTTAAATTAGGTATGGCATGTCCACAATGATTTGCTTTTGAAGTAAAAGTAATCATTTTTAATTCATCCATCAATTTTTTTCCCCTTAGTCCATTCTCCACAGGGGTTTCAGGCAAAGTGGGGTTAAGTGTCTTGCCCAAGGACAAGTGTGAGGTCTATTGTAGGCCCGAAGACCAATGCTCTACCAACTGCTATTTGCTTTTTTTTTTCTTGTTTTTTTTTTCTTTTTTATTAAATTAAATTCTATTCATTTAGTGTTAGCAAAGCAGAGGGCCCCAGAAAATGACACAGAGGACCGCAATTTCCCCCCGCGCCTTAGTTTGGACATGTCTGGTTTAGAAAGTTATATATTCTGAATTAAAACTGCATATACTTTTCAAACCACACACAAACAATGGAACTATGAAATACAATAGTTATCCCTCAAAACATTCTAATCTGGAGGCAATACTTTTGTTTTAAAAGACAGAAAACGACAAAGAATCTTCACTCTTGTTATTATTAAAGTTTAGACTAAGTAGGAAAATGTCAATGTTGCATCACGAGTTACAGACCAGTCAAAATGAGAAGCGCACAGCAAAAGATAAAAGAATTTTAAGTATATCCCAACACAATACTTTAAACATAAAATTAAATTAAAAATGTATATTATTTTAATATGTTTTATGCAAAGTATTGTCCGTCGTGTGACTTGGGTGTAGTTTTTTAACCTTCTTCCTCAGACACACAAATGTAAGTTTTATTGCTGTCTGAATTATGGGTAGATATAGGTCATGATGCGGGTTGAATGTGTCTGTGTGTTGTTTTGACCCAACAGCCCGTGTCTCTCAGTGCAGAGGTGTGAGGAAGAGGACCTGTGTTTTTGCTCAGTGTGAATGAGGTTCAAGTGGTGTTTGCTGGTACTTTAATATAATAATTCAAAGTACCAGTAATTGGTATAATAATTTTTGAGGTTTGTCTAAAAGTGATTGTGTCAGTGGGACGTTCCAGTGTGTATATGTGTGTTGTGTGGCTGTTGTGCGTCAGTGTTGCGTGTTGTGTGGCGTGTCGCTCTCTGGACAGGAGCTGGACAGGTCGACACAGCTCTGGAATAACAATCAGCCTCAAGCGTCTCACAAGGCCTTCCTCGGATGCACTTAAAATATACAAACACACACACATTCAGTATACACACACATATTCCCACACACACACACATATGCCCACCCATACACACACATATGCCCTCACACACACACATACATATACACACACATGCACAGTCCACAACTTATACAGTACATACACACACCATACTTACACAAATACAATCATCACACATGCACACACACGAACATGTACACATACACAGCTGAGGAGAATCTCCAAAGTCAGGAAAATGGTTTCTCAGAATGACTTGGAGGTGATTATTCATGCTTTTGTGTCTTTGCGTTTAGACTATTGTAACAGTCTGTTTTCATGTTTAAATAAGAAAGAACTGTCTCGCCTGCAGTTAGTACAGAACTCTGCAGCGAGAATCCTGACCCGCACAAGCAGGAGGAGCACATCACCCCTGTCCTGAAAGCTCTTCATTGGCTGCCAGTGTCCTACAGGATACATTTTAAAATTCTGGTTTTAACCTTCAGAGCTTTGCACGGTCAGGCTCCGTCTTACATCAGTGACCTGATCCAGCCTTACACTGCAGCCAGGGCTCTGAGGTCTGTGGATCAGAACCTCCTGATGGTTCCACGCACTCGCTTCAGAACCAGAGGAGACAGGTCCCTCCAGGCTGTTGCTCCCAAGCTTTGGAACATTCTCCCGCTCTCTCTGCGTTCTATAGAGTCTGTTGAGTCCTTCAAAAGTCAACTTAAAACTCATCTATTTGTTCAGGCTTTTGCATAATTTTGTCTTGCTGTTTTTACATGGTTGTCTTGGCCTTTCAAAATGTGTATGTCTATTTTATAAAATGTCTGTTTTTATATGTGTGTAAAGCGCTTTGTGACCCTGGTCTGTGAAGGGCGCTTTATAAATACAGTTTACTTACTTACTTACTTACTTACACACACTCCACAACTTATACACACACACCACACACACACAAACACACGCACACGCTCCCAAACACAGACACATGTACACAGATTCAATCATGTACACACACACATACAAAGATACACACACACCACACACATGTACATACATACACACACACACACAGACCAAACACTCTCTGACCCTACATCTCTTCTCAATCGCTCTCTCTTTATCCCTGGAAACATTTAGCAGAATATTATATTTCTTCTGCACCATCAGGAGAAATGTTCTTTGCCTTTTTACCACCACAGACCCACCTTGTGCCTGTGTGTGTGTGTGTGTCTATGTGTGTGCGTCTGTGTGTGTGTCTGTGTGAGAATATTCATGGATCCATTAATTGTGCATGAGGTGACACCTGTCCAGGTCTCAGTCTCTCCATCTGTGCCTCCTGAAGATCACAGACTCAGACTCTTCAGACTCTTCAGACTCTGTGGACTGTGAGGACGGGGCCGGGATCAGAGCAGGATCTGTTCGTAAAGTCTCGCCATATGTTTAAACTTAACAGAATTTCTTATGATCCCTGCATATTTCAGTGTGACTTTGAGGCTCAGGTCAGATTCACTACACGCAACATCACTTAACTTTCATTCATTTCAATGTATTTGTGCGTTCGCCGTCTCTAAGGACTTTACAAAGTTATTGATTTCCCAACGACAGATCAGAGAATCAAACCGTTTGAACACGGGAAACAAACAAACAACATATGGACTGTGTTACAAGAGATACAGTATTTGGGACCAGCAGGAGGACAGTCCCTGTGCTTCTCAGAGTCCCAGCAGGAGGCCAGTCACTGTGCTCCTCAGAGTCCCAGCAGGAGGCCATGGAGAGACCTGTACCTGGGAACGGGACTAACATGATCATGCTTCCTGGTTCTAGTCAGGACTCAATCTGCAGAAATAAGCAAAAACCGTGACCGGACAGAGTAGTGAATAAACTTGACTCATACATGAACTGACTTGTTGAATTATCACTGATGAAATTGTGGTTTAAAACATGAATTATTATCCGCCTCTTTATAAGTAATCTCAACAAGGCCGTTCGTCACAAAGGAAAACTCCCCGGTCTCCGCACTGCTCCAGTTTATTTTCCAAAGCTAATTAAGGCCGTGTGTAAAGAGCGTTCTTGACTATTCTTCCGGGGTCTATTGTCTGTGCATTAGAGAGGACTGAAGGATTGCGATAAAGGGACATACTCGGCTGGGCTATGTCACTAATCCTGCTGAAGAAGAAGAAGAATCCCGGTCGGAACAGGACCTTTCTGAGTGGAGTTTGCATGTTCTCCCCATGTCTGCATAGGTTTCCTTCGGGTGCCTATCACTAAAACCATGTACAATAGGTCTGGCCTGCGCCTCCTGTACTGGCGACCTCACTTTCTGTGTGGAGTGAGAGACAAATGCCCAAAAATAACAACTGTAAAGCCCTTTGTGACTCTGGTCTGTGAAAAAGCGTTATATTAAAGATTACTTTGACGCAAGAAGAAGAAGAAGTGGCCTGGGTGCTTCTTTGTCGTTCTCCAAACCCAGGCCTGAGAGAGGACACCAGCCTCCTCTTTGCATGCTAATGGGGACCGCAACACGCATGCTACACGCCCTCTCACTCACACGCTATTCTGGGTGTGAAGATGTGTCCGGGGACTTTACTGTATTAGAAACGTCAGGGAACAGACAGCGATGGGCAAAGATATGCACCATAAAACTGACATGTGAGGGTTTAGCAGACTGTAAAGCTGCAGTACCGGAATCTATGCTTGTATCTAAAACATGGGGTGTCTAACTTTAGCTGTTTTTGAGTTGATAGATAGACAGACACACAGACAGAGACATAGACAAGAGAGATAGATAAAGATAGATAGACAGACATAGACATAGATAGATAGATAGATATTTAGATAGAAAAACAGACAGACAGACAGAGAAACAGATAGACAAACAGGCAGACAGATAGATACTGTAGATAGATATAGAGAGAGACAGATGGATAGACAGACAGACAGACAGATACATGATAGATAGATAGACAGACAGAGAGACAGACAGGCAGACAGATAGACAGATAGATAGACAGACAGACAGATAGATAGATAGATAGATGGATATATAGATAGAGAGATAGAGAGACAGACAGACAGACAGGAGGGAATAGATAGATAAACTCAGTGTTTGCCCGTCTCTCCTCCGGGCGCTCCGGTCTCCCCCATCACCCAAAACATGCCATATAGATATAACAGCCTCCAGCTCCCGTCCTGCATGAAAAAACTGAGCAACAACACCTGGAGATGGGCCCTTAGAGCTATCGTGACCACTGCTCCTAACGGGTTGGTACTTTCGGATGGGTTAGAGGTCAGATTTATGTACCTAAGCCCTGAGTACACGTTAATCCTTAAACCGTACT